CCACCGACGTCACACGCTGCTACATATGCCCGGAGAAACGATAGAAATCAGTAAGTCAAAACCCAACCAGTCCAAGAGTGAGGACGCTGCGAAATGATCGAAGGCGCCAATGGGAAAACAGAGGAAAGTATTCGTTGCTAATACTATCACGTTCGAGCTGTTAATGACCGCAAGAGTCAATGTGTTAAACAAACACTCCTAAGCGGTCTGTTGTCGGATCTTGATAGATGTATGCAATAACAAACTTCATTTCTGAGGGTTTTGCGAAGCAGCTACGAAAATGTCACATCCCTACTGGCGGCCAATTATGAATAGCAATTATTCACGGACACTCACATTTTTAATAGTTCCTAACATTTCGTCATTCATACCCGAGCAGCTGATAAATCGATCAAAAATCAAAATACCAAGGAACACTAAACTAGTCGACCCAACTTTCCATCGACCTGCGCCAATGGAGATGTTTCTAGGTGTCGGGGCAGCGATCTCCGTATTCTGCATCGGACAGATTAACCTGTCTCCTCCCAACGGTCCAGACCTCTATTATTTTGTAAAAAAATCAAGTTCGGATGGGTCATCGCGGGGAGTGTACCGATCATCAGTGCGACTCACGCAACCATGTGCCACTCCATAACCCCTCTACAAACCGACTTTATTCGCTTCTGGGAAATCGAGGAAGAGCCGCAGATACAAAGACTATCGAAATCCGACGCGACGTGTCACCGACCATCACACCCATACGACACGCAATTTCGAAGGAAGGCACGTCGTCGTGCTGCCGTTCAAGAACAAGAAACAGCAGCTCGGCAAATCTAGAGCACAAGACGAAAAGAAGCTGCTTTCCTTCGAAATGAAGCTACAAAAAGATCCTGACTTAAAACAGCAATATCATGCTGTCTTGCAGGAATATTTAGATCTCGGACATTTATCCGAAACCAAACCACAACCATCAAAACAGGGATGTAATAAAAAGTTCCATTTACCCAACCAAACTAAGAGCCGTCTTCGATAAGTCAGCTCCAGAGTATCACTCAATTAAGCACTACACACGGGACCAAAGCTCCAGGATGATCTACTGCACATTCTTCTCCGATATCGCGTACGTGACCCATCAGTACGTCCTTACTGGCGACATCGAGAAGATCCTCAGGCAATCCTCATACGCGACGAAGACCGAACCATATCAAAGCATCCAATAGCGCGACATCAACGGACGGCTCAAAAAATACCAGCTCAATACCGTCACATTCGGACTTTTCGCAGCTCCTTACTTGGCGATCTGAAGCAACTAGCACAAGATGAAGGACATCGTTTTCCTACGGCCGCCGAAATCCTGCAACGAGACTTCTACGTAGACGACGCTCTCACTGACGCTCCAACACAAGAGGAGACATTCGCTTTACCAGAAGAACTCACGCAGATTTTCAAAACTGCTGGTTTGAACAAAAGGGGGTATCCAATGATCTACATGTGTTGCGTGATCTACCATATGACGTGATCAACGAGAAGATGTACCTGAGGGATTCAAGTTGAATACACAATTGAAGTTGAAGACACTAGGAATTGTGTGGAACGTTGCACAGGATGTCATACAATATTCAGTTAAAAGCCCCCAATCCGCATCACAAAACAATACATGGAGCGGAATATGTAGTCAGCTATACTCTAACAATGCCATGAACTTCACCAGGACGTACCACGAATTCCGAGAACTTCGAGATCTGCGCCGATCCGAAAATCACCAAAAGAAGATTGCTGATTTTTTGGCAGACAGATCGATCCAGTGACATTTTACACCAAGAACATTCCACTTTGGAAGTATCTGGGAGGCAGTGGTGAAATCATTCAAACACCGCATCTTACGCGAGTAGTATCCGCCGTAACCTTCGTATACGAAGATTTTTACACTCTTGTCATCGAAATAGAAGAAATATTAAATTCCCGACCTCTCACACCAATCTCCTCTAATCCCAACGATCTCTTCGTGATTACTCCGGATCACCTTCTAATCAGCGACTCACTAACAAATCTGCCTGACCTCAACTACCGCAAGATATCAAGCAACCGATTATCAACGTGGCGACATGTGCAAAAAATCAAACAGTATTTCTGGACACGCTGGCATCGCGAATAATTGAATGAATTAACCACGCGCACCAAGTGGACAAGCGGCTAACATCCGATTAAGGAAGGAATCAGAGAAGACAACACGCTTTCGATGCAGTGGCCACTTGGAAGAATCGTTCAGGTCTACCTGGGATCCGATGGGGTGATTCGGACAGTCAAAATGGCAAAGAGTATACTCGATCGGAGAGTAAAGCGACTCGCACCCTTGCCATACATGTCGGACGATGCAGAGCCATCGAGCACGGAAAACCAGCTTACAGCTTCTCCTCATCACTAATATGTATCAGTTTGATCGCTACACTCTCAACGGGGGGAGTATGTCACACAACACGAAGGTGCCGTGTAAAAAATATTCCCAACGAACATCTTTCCAATTTTATTACGGTCTGGTATTCGAGAAGTGCTGAACTGCAACAGTAATAACCTTGTGAAGCCTACGAAGGACAAATTTTAATAGAAATAAAATGCTCGCAGTATCACTTGGACAATAGTGATATACAGCATCCATCATAAATAGCATTATAAGTTTTTATCCATCATAAATTGTACCGTAATAAGGCTTACTACTTTGCAGTTTAGGATCAAGGTCTCCTCGGAAGGTGTATCCGATTTATCTGATAGGAAAAGTCGAGTTCAATGAGCAAGTTTGAACAAAGCACTCTTCGAGATATAAAAGCACTCGATCTACAGTTATTTTCTAACAGTTCTTCCTCAGTATTCTTGCCTGTCAGTCCGAATCCGTCACAATGAACGTGAATAAGTCTCGTCGAGAATCGAACCTCGTGACTTAGTCAATCGCACATATTAGTCGATCACGAAAACTACGTCGAAGTCCAAGAAAATACAGCCCCAACTATCCTTACCAACAGAAAAGAAAACGGACCGAACGGAGACGATCTTCGTATCCGCGAATCCGCGTCGTAACATTTTTATGGTCCTTCGAGCCGAATTTCGGCCTCGTGGTGACTAATAAATAAATTCAGTGATTGAGTGATTCAACGAAGTGTAGTCAACAGCACAAAAGAACAATGCCCAAAAAACACCATTGAATCCAGC